AAAACTAGGAATAGAGTTGTAACACTGCTACTTGACAGCCTGGGCTTTTTGAACGAGAAGCTTCAAGCGAATGGATTCGATGTTGTGCTGCTTCAACAGCATGGAATTTCTCAAAAAAATAAGCAACAGAGACAAGAAGGCAGTGGTGCACCACAGAGAAGCCGTTAGGAAGCTGGCATCCACAAAATTAGAATGAAAATGACTTAAAGAGGCTGTGGAATTTTCCTTTAGTTGCTTGTAGCGACGACATATAATGCATTTTGCATTTCAACACTCAGATATTTCACCCCAAAGCACAGTACACAGTGTATAACTTTCAGACCATCCCAACAATTTTGTACGAAATTGAGGAGAGACCATAAGCTTCCGCTTCTAACCATAAGTACGCGAAAAGTCGGCAAAAATCAACTGCTTGCGACAAATACCATAGAATTTGCATATCTGTTGTTATAGAATTTCCAAATGTTTTATGTAAAGCACAGGAAACGGTAATGCGATGGTTAACACTTCACGATTCGAAGAAACCGAGGAAACTGATAATATCAGTTTCAATTTCCTTCTAGTCAACATAGTTTGCGAAAAAGGCTCCGCCGCCTGTGTTTACAGCTACGGATGAACATCACACAATGACGTATCATTTCATCGCATATGTCGTAGCTTCATCTTTAGTGACCACATATTTCTTTAGGATATCCGCAATGTTTTTGTAACTTCAGAAAAGGAAACACAGTAAAAATGGATACTGGGATGACCGCTAAAACTAGTTTTATTTGCAGCTTCGAAAACAACGAACATCAAAAATTAGCTCAAATTTGGCAAGAGAAAAAGAAAAACAAACCAGTTGCGCGCCCTGATCTTTTGCGAGCGGCCTACGCCAGCCATCGCCAAATAACCAATCCAGGCGGCTACCGTTCAATTTTGGCCATGGATTTTCGTATGCATATGAGTCTGAGCCAGGCCTGAAATAACGTTAGGGCTAAAAAAGAGTTTTATGCATAGAAATAACACTGCTATTTTATATATGGAAACAAACTACAAACGAAAATTTTATTTCTATACATCTTTCGTAACCTATCAAAGCAATCACACACAGGGGAACGAGGGGCGAGGGGGTGGCGGAGCGGATGAGGAGGAGGGCAGGTAATGCAATACAACCAGCACAGTTTTTCGGAGAAGAAAGCAAGCCAGGATCACCAACTTCAGGTTGACCATCAACTGATGCTGCAGCTTCGGTCATTAGTACATCGAAAAGTACCCATACGAAGATTCGTCACGGTGAAGGGGACAGCAGCTGATCTGAGTACCAAAATAACTAGCTGTGGAGTAGATGACGTGAGGTCTACGTTTTCTGGACGTTGCTTCCAATGACGCACAAGAAATCTCGACCATTCCGGACATCTGTTACTTCAGTATTTATGATCCATCGATGCTACTTAATCGCAACGGTTCGGACTTAAACTGCCGCCATTTCACAGCAGCCTGATGCTATCGACAGACTGGGTTGTTAGCTAACTTCAGGAGCTCTCCTAGCACCAGCCGTTGTTTCGTTATTGATGCAATTGACAACTTTTCCATTGTTCTCTATTTTGAGCTTCTCTCTTCCACACAATTCCAATTCGCTTAAAACCTATAAAGTGCCAGGCGCATGGACTCCTAAAATCCTAAGCTATCTTCGCTCTCTCGTTACATACGAAAACTGGAACTTACGTATGGGCTAGAGAAGCTTCAAAGCTGTCTTAAGGTTTGTGACATTTTTGAGCGCATAGCTCATTGACCATACATTGTAATAACCTGTGAGTCCAAAATTTCCTTTTGCCCGTTCCAGAATTCAATTAAACCGAAACGGCCCACCGTTTCGCCAGTGACACGTTTTTCCCTCGGCTTCTTTTTATCGTCTTTCTCATTTCTCTTCCCTTCCCATTAAGCACTGCGACTGTCATAATGACGAGGTCCTGTGGCGCGGTGTTGAGTTAAGGCGTGTATGACTTCAGTGGACCGAAACGTCTTATCTCACTCTTATCTCCTTTTCTCATACTGTTCTCTCATGCTGCAATCTATTGCGTCTTCGTCATTTAGGCCTCCAGGATCGACCTGGTTGCTAGCATCGCCTTAATGAAAACGCTGGACAAACCTGTAGTCGGCTGGTTTCCTGACCACATTTTCCTCTTGCGACGCATCATGGCTGCTGGAGGATGAAAATCTCAGTAACGCAGCACTGGCGGTGGTACTGCGATGCAGCGGCAAACAACGTAACATTGACGAAGCACCCAAGGAGGCTGTAATTTGAAAAAAAGCACTTCCAAAAAACAGATTAGTCCAAACTTCTGGACCTGTCATCGCTAAAGAAGTCCACGTAAGCACCCGAGCAACTGTGCATATCCAGTACAAATGCGCACATGTTTCCCGCAACAACGGATTCTCCAGCAGATCAACGTCCCGGATGCAACCGGGGGCAAACATTCCCAGGAAATCTGGGATTCCAAAATTCTGCTCGAAATTCCAGCGATTTTATCAGTTTTTAACGCATGGATTTTCTGTTCCTGAACCGATACTCGCCCAACGAGGCGCTGACCAGTGGAACCGACAACTAGCATCCCGCGGAAAAATCACACGGTAAACCCCCAAAATCTCCAAGAAGGATCGCCGCCAGGAGCGTGAACGCTTGGGCACACATTTTAACGAGCAGTGCCACTGGTCGGGCCGCCTTGGCAGTCCAAACCCAAACCCTCTGCTTCCCTGAGCCTCTACCGTTTTCGGGGATTTCTCGAGCCCGGGTCCGGGGAAAGTGGCTCTTTTTCGGCGTTTCTTTATGGGTTCGGAGTTGTCTCCTACGGATTCGTGGGATCCCCTCAGTTCCGGGCTATGTTCTGGCGCGGTACTTTCATGGATGTCGGCAGGGGTCGAACATGTTTTTTCCTGCACGCTAAAGGCCTCGTGCTACTTGTTAATAGAAATCTGCCAGCAGCAACTAGTAAGTACTGGTTAGGCCATCTCCAATATTTTGGGGATTGCTCAGAGCACGAGCTGACGGCGGGTTTGACTCCTCTCGGCATATACCAGTACCAGTTTACCACTGAAACGAATGAGCACAAATCGTAGAACGACTAGATGCCGTAGGGGCGGGCGGACTGGAACCCTCGATCTCCTACACGAGAGCAGTGGAGTGCGCCTTTCTGTGCGCTCACCAGCGTAAATCATCGTAAATTTTGCATAATGGAAAACGAACAATTTCCGTTCCACTGTGTCATTCTTTCAAAATGACCCAGCTGCCTGCCCACTAAGCAGTTTTCCCGCCAAAAATTTCACGAACTCTTGGACTACCGTCGAGGTGCCTCCATCATCTCTTTTTTGTTTCCCAACGGCTTGCTTCCGGGATATGGCCTCTGTAGGGCGTGAGGTCAAGATAATTTTTCTATTCAGTTCTGCTGCTCTTCTGCGCCAATTTTGAATGGTACCACGAGCTGTCTGTCTCCACGGTTGTTTGGGAGTTTTGCGGCCGGGGCTGTGAGATTGCTGTGATGATGCGAGGATTGCTAGCAGCTGGAGAAGCAGTGCCGCTGCCGCTGCTGCTGCTATAGGATGATGAGGTCTGATTTGTGTGAACAGATGTTTCCGGATTGTGCGCGCTACTTGGATCGCCGAATCTCAGTACACATTTAGTGCGGTGATCTTGTGCGCATACACTCGTTTTGCCCTCTCACTGCTCCCCTTGCTCGGTTCGGCTTGGCACCCCCTCCCCTCCTGCGTTACCTGTTACCCCGTCGTCCCCTCAATCCTTATGTCGGCTGCTGCTGATGAGTGCAACGCATCCGGCGGCAGTCAATAATTTATGTTTATTCGCTCCTTAAGTGAAGTGTTACGGTTGCGTTTTTTCGGCTGTTCTCTGTTCTGTTCGGGATGGAGGGGGCCTGAACATAGCTGCTCGTAATTTTTGTTAATCAGTGCTTTCAGTGTTAGTTGTTTTTTGAGTGCCACTCGCGCACTGTGACTCGATGTCCAGCAGTGGTCAGCGAAGCAGGCATCTGTTCCACCACTTAGCCCCGGATTCTCCCGGAAACGAACCCATGATCGTTTGCATTATAACAGTTGCTTTAGAAAAGTACTATTGGTTATGAGAAACTATTAATTCAAATTGTTATACCTTACTCTGGTGAACCATTGAACCGCCCGGAAACGAAACGAATGTCACGGTCATTGGCAAACTGACCACTGGTCAAAAGGGGACAGCTGGAGAAGTTGCATAGTTTGAGATAAGTAGACAATGAATCACATACTACCGCTTAGTGCCCTTTTTTATGTCATCCAAGCAGCTAGAAGCTTTCCTCTGGGATCTGCTATCAAAGTTGACCATGGCTGGCATCCCCTCTCTCTCTCTCTCTCTCTCTCTCCCTCGCACCCCTGCTTTTTTAGTAAAATGCTAGCCTGGGGCATGCAGGTTAGCTTTATCACTTACTGAAGAAGCATAATGGCCCACTGAAACTGTAACAGGAAAGACAGCAGGAGTAAAAGGAATTTTGCGAAACGGAAGAAAAGACGAAGATTGTGTAGCCAAGCACATGTAATAAGAGACATGCGGAGATGTGTGTATGTGTGTGTGTGTGTCTATATGTATGTGTGTATGCATAAGCGTGTGTGTGAATGTGGGTGTGTGCATGTGGGTATGTGTGTGTATGCACGTGTATGCACGGCACATGTTATGAGGAATTATGCGAAAAACCATTCTGTCTGTGTTTCATCCCTTAGCTGTAATCACCAGCCGGTTGTGCACATAAATTCTAGCACAGTTGTGTGGTTATGAAGCGCACATGTCTAATCTAAACACTATGCTAAAACTTTGTGTACCATACATTAGAAATTCACGCAATTTCTAAAGAAACAGTTGGGCAAAAAGGCGATCTTATTGCAGTGTGTCCGGTGTCAGACCAGGGGCTGATCGTGGAGCGATGAGTGTGGAAGAAATCCAGGAACAACAGGAGCTGGATGCCGAACAGGAGAATTATGTGCCACCGGCACAAAAATCGGTTTCCGAAATTATTGCGGCCGACGCGAACGATGAAAGCCTGAATCGGTAAATGCGCAGTCACTTTTAAAGCTCATTTAGAAACAGGTACCGTTGTTATTTTTAAGGACGCGGCTCGCGATCTGCTTAGTTCTGAGTAAACGCATGCGAGCATTACCAAAACGCACCCCAGAAAAAAAAGTTTGACCGTTTATTGCCCATTGCTCCCAAAGTTTTAGTTTTCCAGCTTTTATGGTTTCCGAGTTAGCAGTTTTTCCGCCAAAAACTTTCGCGAGGCTGTACGTGAGAAACATGCACATCTGGGGGCTGTAAGTCTTACATGGACGGAGAAAATCAGTACGACTGGTAGCTTTATAAAAGAAAATTTGCGTTAGCTGAGTGCCGCAGATTATGATTGCATCCCAGAGGCCACGCGCTTCCATTTTAAGGACAAGTTGTTTGTATTATTTTAAATTAAGACTTGCAGCTGCGGCTGCCAGTTCCCTAATGATCGTAACTTGATTGTGCTTTGTTGCAGTTACAAGCAAGCACTTTTGGGTCAGGCAAAATCCGAGCAGGTGATCGTGGATGCGAATGACCCGCGTAATGTCTTGGTGCGCTCAATTACACTTGTCGTTGAGGATCGTCCCGACATCACAATGCGTCTGGATAATGGTTGTCCCTTGTTGCTTCTCGCTGTCTGTATTGGTTGATAAATTACCGTGACATCTCCATTTTCATGAAAAGACGACTCCCTCTTCCTTTTTTTTTTTTTT